TGGAGTGGCCTAGCCAGTCTCCAGACCTCAATCCAATAGAACATCTTTGGAGGGAGCTTAAACTCTGCGTTGCTCAGCGACAGCCCCGAAACCTGACAGATCTAGAGGAGATCTGTGTGGAGGAGTGGGCCAAAATCCCTGTTGCAGTGTGTGCAAACCTGGTCAAGAACTACAGGAAACGTTTGACCTCTGTAATTGCAAACAAAGGTTTCTGTACCAAATATTAACACTGATTTTCTCAGGTGTTCAAATACTTATGTTCAGCAGTGCAAGACAAATAAATTCTTTAAAAATCATACAATGTGATTTCCTGAAATTTTTTTTAATTCTGTCTCTCAGAGTGGGAATGCACCTACAATGTGAATTTCAAACCCCTCCATGATTTCTAAGTGGGAGAACTTGCAAAATTGCCAGGTGTTCAAATACTTCAGTTCCTCACTGTATATGTCTTTGAATACTGCAGGTACAGCAAAAACCTTAATTATGCAAGTAAACCTTAGAGCTGTGACTTCTGTGCCCTGGGAGGAGAAGTGTTGGGCAGAAACAGATGAGAGAAGGGGTGTCAAACCTTTTAAATCTTAATTAATGTTTGTTTTATGATTAGAATTTATAGCCTATAAGTAAATTGAATTTGATTATTGGGGACCCCTCAAAATAATTTTTTCTCTTTTGCTTCAGGGGGAGCACAGCTCTCTATTGATCGAGCTCTTTGTCACCGCCCCCGGTTCCCGCCATCTGCTGTCCAGGCAAGACTCAGCACATCTCAAGCCCATGGAGAGGGCAGAAAAGAGTGTCGGCTTGTGAGAAGTGCAGGTATGCCAGAGTAAAATGCAGAAGTGCTAGTACTGCGTACCTGTGCATACAGGCCCACTTCATGCTCTGAGATTAATGGAAACACACTGAAATCTCCAGTAACATTGCTGTAACAAAAAGCTCCTCTTCTGCTCTCAGCTTAGTAATCAAGAGCCCCAGCAGGTTAACAAAACAGAAACTTAGGGCCTACTGGTTTTTGATAGAGCCTCACTGGTGGCCAGCCTGGGGAGGCCCGTCCACTGGTTTCCACCATGCCCCCCCTGAGATCATATGTTGGCCCTATAGCCTATTTTATTTAACTGTTTAACTTATACTATTAATTGGTTAGAATTTTTATTGTCTGCTAATGGTTAAGGGTGTGCATCCTTACTATGCACCCTAGCATGTACGTACACACTGTAGATAGGTTATAGCTGTTGTATTTTGTGAATTAATCCATACCAAAATAAACTTCAGCAGGTCTATATAAGTGCTGCATGGTATAATCAATTAATTTACTGATAGAAAAGTAACTTTAAAAGAAACTGTTTTAATAACTGAGTTATTCAAGCAAATTTGCCAAATATTCTCTGTTTACAGCTTCTAATTTGTGAGAAGTTGCTGCTCTTCCCAGTTTCGTGTGATAGCAAACTAAATATCTTTAGAATATGGACAATTAGTCGGACCAAACAAAGGGATTTAAAGACCTCACCGTGGCACCGTGGGCTCTAAATAATTGTAATGGACTTTTTTTATATTCCAAATGATTAATGAAGAGCATAATCAGACAGTTCATTGAAAATGAAGATAATCATTAGTTTCAGTCCTAGACAATACCAAATGAAACTGACATTTAAGCTATACCAAACTAAAGTTTTGGAATACAGTGTGTATGCTGTGTGTATATGTATTGTTGACATAGTTAAAGTACTTTGAACTACTTTCAAGTGAACTCATATCATTTCACTTTCTAAGTAAGACCTGAAACTGTAGCCATGTTCACATTTCCTGCTAAAGTGACCCAAATCTACTTTTGCTTGCAGCATTAGCATTGGAGGGCGGCTGTCCTCTTGTAAAAGTCAGCTCTATATTGTATATAGTTTGTACCAGCAGGTTATTATAACCAAGTGTGATCCTGTGATGGTTTGGCAACATCCAGCAACCATAGTGGTTATGAGGTGACGAAATGATGTAGTATATACTGTAGAGCCATAAAGTGCTTATTTGGAGGAGGATGGGGTGGATGGCTAGGCACACAAGATTTACAAACATCTTATCCTTTACTCCAACAACTGCTAATGAATAAAAGCTCCTATGCTGAGAGCAGGGCCACAGATTTTAGGGGTGAAAATCGCCACTCTCGTTACAATACAATCCTATATCAATTCGCTTTGCCAGTGATCTGTGATTAAAAATATGTCTCGATGCGATTTCGATTTTATTCAATTCAGGGGCCTGCGATCGATATCAAGTGATATTATCTGCCAGTTTCACACAATTATATTTTTATTAACTAAGATATAACGGAAGTATAATTTTTAAAATTTATGTGAGCTCCTCTGTTCACTTTGAAGTTTTATTTAAATACAAATAAGGACCAATGGTGACCTTACAATTCAACAAACTTTGTCATAGGAAGCATTTACGTTGTGACACATACAACAAATCTGAAAAAACCTATTTCCTACATTGCAGTGGGAGTTTTGTTAAAATTCACACTTAAAATTCACACTTAATGTTGTGTGTCCTTTTTAATCCAGAATTCATGCCCACAACTTGATTCTGATGGGAGGGTTTACGTTATCTGTGTATTTCTCTTGACCAATTATCATTAAAAGCGATTTGCCACTTGCTCTTCTCACGTAACAGGTAAAACCCCAATCTATCAAACATGTCAGTCCACACTGACTCAGAAACATGCATGCGAGACACGCATCACCCCTGGACCACTCTGGTTTTCTAGGCTGCAAGTTTCTTCTCTCTGGTGCATTTAACAAAGTGTAATCGCCACAGACCATTTGTCTGCTCACTGTCTTGCTGACAGACGAACAGCTGTTCTGACAACAGTGACCCGGGGGTCGAAGTCGGCGTGGACTGAACGGATCAAACACTTCAGTGGCTGCTCACGTCTCACTTTTAGTGTGAATTCCCAGTTTCAGAATGCTAGCTGCACCGCCTGGCGCTTGTTGTCCAGTTGGAAAAGAACAGCTCTTCACCAGAAATGTGTATATACTGTATGTTGCTGACTATCATAAAAAAAAGCACACAAACCAGTGATTTTTACGTTTTGCATCAAGGACTGCATTTATATACACCCAATTAATCAGGTTACGGCAGAAATCATATAAGGCTTTTACATGCACAGCAGTAATCAGGTTACTCTAAAACCCCAGTGCACATGAGCTCCTAGGTGATCTGATTTCCCCCCAGTAGCCCACTGAAAGCAGAAAGATGCTGTTCAGGTGCACCTGCAATGGATAGCCTGACGCCATTATACGGCTGCATCCTCCCATAAATAATAATAATAACCACCTTTGTTTGGCCAACTATGTTGCACACAGCCATCTGCGGCGCCAACTCAACCGGTGGCTCTAACCATCGGGGGCAACTTGGGGGTTCAGTGTCTTGCCCGAGGACACTTTGAAGTGTAGACTGCAGGCACCGAGATTCAAACCCCCGACACTCCGGTTGGGAGACGAGTGCTCTACCCACTGAACCACAATCGCCCACACAACAAAGATAAAGCCAGTCAACCAAGCTCATATTTTGGTCTCCTTAGAGATGTTTCACCTGCAAATTACAACATTAGCTGCTTTTTGAAGTTATTTTGGCTGAGCATGTGCTCTTGTAGAAAGCTGATTAGAAACCTGGTTATGCATATACATGGGAGAGAAATTGGCGTTCTTCGGGAGAAATCTACCGGCGGAAATCAGGTTTTCCTAATCCCCTACCCCAATTAGAGAAACCAGGTTTCCTGTTTACATGGCAGTTAAGAAATCAGTTTACTCACAAGAGCCAATTGCAACCTGGCTGCTCAAGTGCAGTCATCAGACCGGGGGCTGTTTGATCGATCTAGATCAATAGATTGGTAAACCATTACAAATTTTACACCTGCTTTGTCTTGGTGTCAAATTTCAGCCACAGTTCCCTCCGTCACATCAGTGGTAAACAGAGTCTGAGAGCATTTGTATAAATTCCCATTCTCTCTGCCCTTACTTTTGCACCCCTGAACAGGAAGGCTTTAAGATACATATTGCATGCAGAAATGTCCACATCAGCCGAGCTGCCTTCCATGTGCTATTTTTAAATTAGAAGCCTTAGTCACAAGGCCTCGCTGTTATTGGGTGCAGGATGGACACCCCGGGCTCCGTTCCATTCCCTTCTCAGCTTGTCCTTTTCACTCCCTGCCAGAGGAGCAACTGACCGCCTGCCTTTATCCGACCAGCTGGTATTCCCTCAGCGCTCCACGTCTGCAAGCTTTCAGCCTGCTCAGTTGGCGGAAGGGAGGGGAGGGGAGCCCTTGGCATAAAAGTGATGTCAGAGTTGCCTGAACTCATTTCAGACGGACCCCTGGCAGGAGGATGAGTGTTGAACTGTCGTGTGTGGACAAACTTGCTCTCTTTTTTCCTTGTGGGTCTTTATATGTTTTCAAAATTTCCAGGGCTTTCTTAGAATGCAGTAGCAATACCTCTGCACCTATGAGACCTGAATAGGAAAACTATATTTTAAAAATATGAAGTATCCCCTCCCCACCCCCTTTCTCTGTCAAATTTAACCACTGACCACTCACCCTGCCCCTCTGCATCTCACCACTTTGCAAGCTGTGCAGCCCGACACTGCTGCCAAAAGAAACATAAGCTTACGTCAACTTCCAAAGAAGGAGCTGCTCCTTCACATTGACCTGAAAGAGAGACACTAAGAGGTGGATGTATGAAAGAGGTGGCGATAGATGGGGACAGTGTGTCCCCTCCTCCTCATTCATACACATAATATACTCAGCTACCTGTTTGTCAGCCCAGAGCACGTAGAGCGGAGACTCGATCGCCCCTTTTCACCGTCACTCTCATTCATCCTTTCTCTCTCACTCTCTCCTTCCTTTCACCTCTCTCCGTCTCTTCCCACTCTCCTCATTTCCAGTCATTCACAATCGGACAGCAGCAGCACCTGCTACCAGGTAAAAAAAAAAAACCATTGATACCCTTTTATCATCTGCAGTCATTTTGATGTGTGTGAGATGACGTTAATGACGTGATGTGAGGACTTCATTCAGGTTTTTGTTGTTGCAGAAGGCTGCTACATCAGCGAGACAGCGTGTGTTGGGGAAAGAAACATTTGTGGAATCATATGCTGAGAAACAGTCCTTTGGAATGAGCTGAGTATTTTAGCCATTTTACACATGTGCAGACAGTGCAGCTTCTGCGTTGAGGGTGTGCGTGTGTGCATGGATGTGTGAGTGACTGTGTGTGAATGAAGGAGAGCGAGAGTGCATATAGTGAGTGGTTCGTGGGCTGTGTATGTATTAAAGCTCACACCTCAGACTGGGAGTGAATGAGCTCCCTGTGTTGTGCACCCAGCCTCCTATGCTTGGCATGTCCTCCCGTAGACTGGGAAGCACTCCTGAGGTGCACACATACACAAAGGACATGGCTGTGTATCTACCGACTCCCAGAGGGCTCTCCTTCTCTGCCCCCTTACAGCGCCACTATCAGGCTGCTGATGAAGCTGCACTTTGTCCCTACAGTGTTGCTAATGCTCCACTGACACTGGTAAAAAGAGATGAGGGCATTCACAGTGTTGCTTAGGTAAGATGAGTCTGCAAGGTGATGTAGGATGGTGAAATAAGTCCAAATTTGCATATTGTTTCTATTTTTCCAAATTCACTGTCTGGATTCTTTCAATATCATTGTTTTATTCAGAACCTCATTTTATAAATCACCTATTAAGTGGCTTATATTATAAGCAACATACATATTTTTACATATAAATGCCTTTTAGAATACTGTACTATCTTTCAGAAATTGTTGCATTTTTACTGTAGTTCAGATTTAATATGAGACGACAACAAAATAAGGGTTAAAATGTGTTGCTTGTGAGACAGTTGTAGCTTGGTTTGTCATAGACTGGTCCAGAGTTCTTTGTCATCCCAATGTATGCAGTTTTCTTTTTTGGCTCCCCCATAAGAATGGAAGAGTATCCGTGTAGTATGAATTCAAGAATCCCAAAGTACTGATTTTTCTAGATATGTACTGTTCTCTCTCCAAAAAAGATGTAGCTTCTAGGAGGAAGGCACCTTCACCTGCCTCTCTCTCTCCCTCTCACTCTGTAGTTGGTGAAGATGCTGGAAGATAAATTTAGCCCTCCAGCTCTCCTTCCATCTGCTACCACATGGTTTAGGGCCGTTACCATAGGAACCACCGCTGGGTGCCCATTAGTATGAGAAGAGCCTTTTATACAATATTCTCCTTCAGTGTTTTGTGTGAATGGATGCAGTCAGTGCTTTACAAATTTATGTGAGACTTGTTATGAACTTAAGGTGTTGCATTTCTTTACATGCAGATTTTGGCTGTGCTGCTCAAACTAACTGTATGCCCACTCTGCGTTTTATATTGTTTCACTATACAAATAGTGTAGTAGCTCATTTATGAACTAAAAACATACACTGTTAGTCGATTTTCGATATAATGCATTGCTCAATCCACTGTCTAATGCCAACTGAGACCTAATCATCGGTTTTTCTCTCTGTAGGCTGGCTGTAGTCTGATGTTCATGGCACACATTAGCAGGGAAAGCACAGGTGTAATTAGTTGCACTAATGAAGTCTGCTTTCCATTAAGGTGCGGCAGTTCCACTAACCTGCTACTGTGCAAGCTGACTCACTGACATGGCTTACTGGATCACTTAAATGTAATAGTTAAGTATGGGTGCAGCAGTTAGCACTGTTGCCACACAGCAAGAAGGTTCCTGGTTTGAGCCCTTGCTGACCTGAGTCTGAGTCTGCATGTTCTCCCTGTGTCTGCGTGGGTTCTCTCTGGGCACTCCAGCTTCCTTCCACAGTCCAAAGACATGCAGCTTAGGTTGACTGGTGACACTAAATTGCCTGTAGGAGTGACTGTGGATGTGTGTGGTTGTCTGTCTCTAAAATAGACTGGTGACCTGTCCAGGGTGGACCCCGCCTCTCGGCCAATGTCAGCTGGGGTTGGTTCCAGCCCCCTGCAACCCTCTTCAGAATAAGCGGTATAGATAATGGATGGATGGATAATAAATACTGTACCATAACTGTGTATAAGGTAGGTCTGCTGAGAAGAAGCCTATTATTTTTTGGAAAGGACCCATTAAGCATTGCACTTCTAAAGCATTTCCAGATTTGTGTTGGACAAATAAAAAAAAACTGAAGTTACCACAGCCTTAGATATTGCCTTTTTTAAATTCCATATTGTAATGAAGGCTGGAAGAACAAGCTGAGTCAGAGTCAGAACTTTCTTTATGCAGGTGCTATGTGCCCTATATACCACACAACTCCACAGTGCTGCCTCTATTTATGAACACACCACAAACTATTTACATACTCTATGTGCTGTGGCCCATTACTGCCACCAGAACCCTTTGTTATGTGCCCCATGCCCAGCTGGCTTGGTCCTACCCCCATAACATAACATTAACACAACAACTCAGGAACTCGCAGAACATTACAGCCAAAGTCTCAGAGGCTGAGAGCCAGGGACAGGGGATCTGTGTGGAGAGAAGGGCTAAAGAAAAAATGCTGCATGCCAGGTTCATTTGCACGATTATACTTGCAAATTATCAGTCTTTAGTTAACTATGGCGCAAGTGTGATACACGTAAGTGTAAATGAGCTGATGCATTGCATAATTTTAAAAAAGTCTCTTGGTTTTAGGTGCCAGTTCTTTACTGTTCTGCTCCATCTGAATCTTATCCCACTCCAGTCATTGCCATTTTTATGCAGAGTGAGCAGGTGCTCTGAACGTCTCACAGTCTGAGTGGTAAGGCGGTAGTTTTTCAGTATGAGACTCTCAGACTTTTATTTCAGATCCATTTACACTATCTGTCTGACCTACATTTAGCACTTAAGTAGTTTTATTGCAAATGAATTAGAGCTATGACATCTGAATGGTCTCCTGTCTTGTTTTGTTTCGTCTTGTCTTACATAGAAAGGCACTGCTGGTTTAATGTTCATCCAAAACTTGGGTGTATACTGTCACCACAAGTTAAGCCAAAGATGGTTAACAACCTGTTATCAGTCAATTGGATATAATCCAGTAGCTTTGTCGTCTTCCACCAGAACGTGGGTGTAGAAACCAGCTGGTCAATGTGTGGGATGCCTTGTTTACTGTTTCAGTATGCTGGCACAAATCACACTGGAGTTTTCTTCAGTATCTGCACTGAGTCACCTTTTGTAACAGCCATCCCTTGCCTTCTTTTGGATTAGCCTTTATAGTTAGCTAATAAGATAAAATTATCCACACCATATGAAGTAATGAAGCAGGTAGAGTCCTTTACATGTGCAGCACTACTATACAGTGCCACTGTCTGATGATCACAATTTCAGAGGCATGGTGTTATACTGAACAACACAACATGTCCAATATGCAGCATTAATTAGAGTATGTTGTACACAATGTAGCGCTGTCCACCTGAAAGGCATTGTGGTCCATGGTCTTCAAAGAAGAAGTGTATGGCTGATTAGACATTGTTGAACACCATGACAGTTTGATGCTGTTATTGAAATGGTTCTGTCAGTCACTGATCATGTTGCCTCTCTCAGGAAATGTTAGCAGAATCATAATTTTTGCTTTCTGCATGCTGTATTTTCATTAGGGCTGTCAAATGATTAAAATATTTAATAGCATAATTGTCCATAGTTAACTTGGGATTAATCGTAAAGTAATCACACTTTTTCTAATTGGATCTAAACAGTGGTAGAAAGTAACTAAGTACATTTACTCAAGTACAATTTTGAGGTATCTGTACTTTACTGGAGTATTTTCCTTTTCTGCTACTTCATAATTTGAGTTCATTTTAGAAGCAAATATTGTACTTTTTACTCCACTACGCTTATTTTATAACTTTAGTTACTTTTCATAACCAGATTAATGCAAAAATACAGTATAATTATAAGACCTCATTGACCTATGGTGGAAAATTCACAAGCTACCCAGCAGTAATTCAAATTAAATGCATATAAGCTAGTTAAAACTAGCCCCCCATTTACCAGATGCAACAATAAATGTGATGTGCACAATACGGCATCAGTAATTATAATACAATAATATGATATACAGGAATGGAAAATGTACCATTCTGCAAAATGAGTACTTATAGTACTTTAAGTAGGTTTTGATGCTAATACTTGTGTAACATTTTGAATGCAGGACTAACAAGAGTATTTTCACACTGTTGGGTTGCTACTTTTACTTAAGTAAAGGATGTGAGTACTGCTTCCACCACTAGTTCTAAATGTACCTTAAAGGGACCCCGAGGTCCCAGCAGTCTCCAGTGAGAGCGGCTGTGTTTGTCTGTCCCAACGCCTCCTCCACTTTAGCTTTTTATCTTCATATGAGTTGTGTATCTTGGTGACAGTGGTGGCTCTTGAAGACGATTCATGTGGGCAGTTTTTGGATGCAAAGCAAATTATTTCAAGCATACCCTCGTCCTCCACAAGGTTAATCGGCCTGCAAGCTATAGCCACCCATTTAGCTGTCACTGTTGAAAGTTTGTTGCTTGTAGAGTTCTCCAGGCGTCTCTGTTGCAAACTATCCAGCATGGCCTTTTGCGAGGGGGGAGGGCTTACTGCATCAGCTGTGTGCTTGGCCAGCAAGTGGTATTTGAAACTCAACGTACTCCGGTGGTAACTCATTTCACATTGACAGTAAATGAAAATAACTTTGGTCTTGTGGAGAGAACCATCTGGCAGGGTTTTGAAACTGAATTTGCCATTCAGAAGACCCTTTTCTTTATTTATTTCTGCTGCTGCGTTGCTTCCCAATTTTCCAAACTATGGGGCAGGCTGAGGGTCATAATCACAGAATGTACATGTGTTAATTGTGCTTCAAAAAATTTGTGGCATTAAAGGGAATTTGTGTTAACTTGTTATTATAGTGTTAACTTTGACAGCCTTAATTTTTATACAAATATTTCATAAACATTCTAATTTTAAAGTAGCAGCCAGAAGAAAGTGAAAGCTGCATGTGATGACAAATACATTGCTTGTGTAACACATGAAACATAAATATTTATATTTGGAAAGCGGATGGTCAAATGATTATCTGTGTTGAACTTGATGCCCTATTTTATATAATGAGTTGTTTTGTCTTCACAGATCTTGATGCTGAGAAGATGAGAAGAATCATATAGTCACCTGAGTCAACTAAGCATCAGGGTGTGTGACAGCAAGACTGGTTGAATGCTTCGTGATGGGATTGTTTATGGCAACATAGCAGAGGACTTCCTTGACAGCACATGACCTATCGGCTTCTTTTTTTGATGCTGCCATTCTACATCTGATGGTACTTTTCCTTTGACTAGCAATAAAGATATAGTAACACAAGTGAAAATTATGCAGACTGAAAGTCAACTAGAGTGGATATAATTTGATCAAAGTCACCCAGTTAATGATTTGGCTTGAACTCTGTAGCCTGGCACAGGCAGACGCATCCCAAGTGTCTACCTGAGGCTGTCCTTCCATTTTATGGAGGCCTTGCATAGTCGCCTGACAACTGGGGAGCAGTCCGGAGGTCAAGAACATTGTCAGTCAGAGTCTCCTCACCGAGGACTGCAGTCAAAGTCTTCCTCCCAGCCCCGTCCGCAGCAACAGCTAGGGAAAACTGGCTCCCCAAAGCCCCATGGCACACCACAGCCACGCAAACAGTCCAGAAGACAGAATCCTGAACGCAAGCGTTTCAGGAGCCAGCGACAGAGCATTGACTCAAATACAGTCCCGGAGCACAAACATGAAACAACAACAGCAACAAAAGCAACCACAGATTCTAGCTTGTCACCAGGAGCCCTGCCTTCCTCAGCAGGTGGCCTTACCCAGTCTAAACCAGAAATCCAGGAGGGTACCCCAAAACAGAAACAAGAGCGTAGGCCTCAGAGACCTGGAAAATATGTCTGCACTTACTGTGGCCGTGCATGTGCAAAACCTAGTGTGCTTCAGAAACATATTCGCTCCCACACAGGTGAAAGACCCTATCCCTGTGCCCCATGTGGCTTCTCTTTTAAGACCAAGAGTAATCTGTACAAACACCGCAAATCACATACCCATAAGGTGAAGGCAGGTCTAGCACTTGGGGAGCCAAGATCTTTAGAGGAGCAAGTCACTGAGTCAGAAGATGAAACTAGACAGCTATCATCAGCCTCTTCCCATACAGAAAGACAAGGCAATGTAGTTGCAATCACGAGCTATGAAACGGACCGGTCCAAAGATTGCCCTGCAGGTAAAGATGACTCCTTTGCGGTGAAAAAGAGACTGGCCCTGCGTCTAAGTAGAGGAAAACAAGGTTTATCTGATGAAAATACCTCATCTCAAATTTTAGGCAGTAAAGGCAGCACAGAATCTGGCTATTTCTCTCACTCTGAAAGTACTGAGCAATCACAGGACAGTCCACCAAACACAAGTGCCAAAAGCTATGCAGAGATCATCCTCGGCAAATATGGACGCCTCGAACACCTACAGAGGATGTCTCGTCATCATAACCAGCAGCCTTCTGGTCAGGAGGACAAAAGCATCCCATTCACAGTGCCCAAGAAGCAGGTCATTGAACACATTACCAAACTTATCACCATCAATGAGGCAGTGGTGGACACCAGTAAAATTGACAGTGTAAAACCAAGAAGATTCTCACTTTCCAGAAAGAATAGTTCAGAGTCTCAAAAGGGTCTGACTATGAAAGAACCACTTATTCCTAGCCCTAAAGCTGGAGATCTGGGCTATAAAACCAGCGGCTCTATCACAATGGGAGTTCCATGCGAAAAATTTCATCATCCATCCCTAAATGTTGAACAGCCAGCTGGCCAAACATCCACTGCCTCTCTGGTGAGAAGTCACTCAATGCCATTTACAGCTAGTTCATTTGATGTCTCCACTGGTGGCCCCAGTAAATTTCGCTTAAGTCAGTCCTTTGACGAACGCCAGCCTTTGGAAAAACAATCATCCCGTCGTTATGGGATGCTAAGACGGCAGCCAGCTATTGAAATTCCACTTGGTGCTGATTTTACAGAAGAGGAACATGAGTGTTCTCATTCATTTTACCCCGACAGCGTAACCACTGTGCCTGATTACAAGCAAAGTCGAACGCAACCATACAAATGTGAGACCTGTGGCACTGCATACAAAGATTGGGAAGGTTATAAAAAACACAAGACAAGCCTTTGCTTAGCACATCATACCAGAAATGAGGTGGTAAGTAATCCAACGGAGTCCTCACAACTCATTAACAATGCAATCAGAGTTGGAGCTTCAGCAATGCGCAAGAGGAGAAAAGAGGAAAGTTTTGAATTCGATGACCCCTCTTCTCCTCCATTAGCTTTTCCTGCCCTCTTGCCAGGAAACTCTAGAGATGAAACCCATGTAGCTTATGAGGGCTGTAGAAGACCTACACTGCAAACCTGTTCAGTAATTCAACACACTAGTTCATTTGAGAAACAAGAACCTTTGAACAATGAGAATCAAGGCACTGAGGCAACAAAAGACTCCGCACTTCATGAGGAATATCAGCTGATAACTCAGAAACAGCCCCAACTGCAGTCGACAAAATTAGCAACTCGAAAGTTGGTCCGCCAACACGATGTGCAAGTTCCCGAAATACTGGTGACAGAGGATTCCAACATGAGCACAGAGACCTCAGTAGAGCTAACCTCCACAGCCAAACCTCCGGAGAAACCTGATGAATTTCAGTGGCCACAGAGAAGCCCCTCTCTGGCCCAACTCCCTATTGAAAAACTCCCTCCAAAGAAGAAGCGCTTACGTCTAGCTGAGGCTGCCCAGTCATCAGGGGAATCCAGTTTTGACTCGGTGTCTCTGCCTCGTAGCCCTAGTCAGGACAGTAGTGCATCTTATGCATCCAGTCGTTCCACATCCTTTGAGGAGTCAAATAGACCAGACATGGAGATAGCATCATCAGCACCACTGAGGAGATCAAGAGCACCTCACATGTTAACAGTGCCTGGGGTGCATCAACACAGAGAGATGAGGCGGTCAGCATCTGAGCAGGCACCTCATGACCCACAACCTAGTGTCCTAATGACTGAAAGCCGCAGTAAGTCTTTTGACTACAGTTGTCTGTCCCCTGAGCGCTCTGCAGTTGGCTGGAGAGAAAGAAGAAAATGTCTCCTTATGAGACACACTGCCATTCGAGACCCAGATGAGGAGGAGCAGTGTACTATCCTGAGCCATAGTCCTGAACATGTTGCACCTAGCACATCTTCTCAAGCAAGCCCATGTTCTGTGTACTCCAGCAGGGTCCCTACCTCTCCTTTATCAGGTGACACAGTCTTGCATAATCCAGTAAGATCACAATGCAACGAGATGACCTCTCAGTGGAAACCAAGTCAAAATATTCAGTTAACAGGTAGCACAGATCTCTCATTTGCTTGTGGTTCATCTATACATCCTGTAACAAAGAAGGCCTCACACATCCATACAGGCCAGCTCCCTCCTAAAACATCACAATCCTATCCTACACATGGACCATCAGGCGCAGCCAGAGCTCGCTACCTCCCCATGTCTAGAGGGCTGAAGCTAGAAATTCCCTCACAACATGGTGATTATTCAGAAGGTGGAGTAAGTCACTCCCACATCCAACAGTCTGTCCCTCACATCACTTCCAGTCTGGAATTATTGAGGCCAGTCCCATCTCCCTCAGTAGTAGTGCGTCTCCAAATGGAGACCCTGACCCCAGCATGTGCCATATACACTACCTTGTCTCAGTCCACCTCACCCAAACCCCAAGAGGCAGTTGCTGCTGTTTCACATGATATTGGTATCGCAACTGCTGAATTTGGAAGTGCAAACCTTCATCTGTGGGCTGATAATGGCCCAAAGTTAACAGGCTCAGGGGGAAACAAGCGCATGCTTTCCCCTTCAAACAGTATAGAGTTCCCTCCTGAGTCACAACAGCAGCAGAAACGAGTAAAAGAAGAAGACAGGGAGGTGGGATGTGTGGACAAATCATCAGTGGACACTTGCAATCAGAAGCTTAAACAGGAGGATCAGTCATGTCTAGCAAATGTTTGCTCTCCAGTCACACATGTTGGACCTTCATTTCCCAGTCTGCTGTCAAACACCTGTAATAGCTGGTGTTATTTGAATTACATTAAGCCAAGCCCCTCTACTCTGGATGAACAGAAACCCTCAGTGTATTCATCATGGTCCACTACTGGCTATGACCCCAACCCACCTGGCCTCTCCAGCAAGATGGCTCTCTCTCTGCTGCACTGTAAGCAAAGACTCAGCCCTTCTATATACACTATATCCCCCATGTCAGTCAGGACATCTGATTCAATGAAGCAAGAGGACAACAGAGGTCCATGCTCCACTGAGGTAATTACAACACTAACCACTGATTACATTTATCTTTAAATCTATATTATAATGTATTATTAGACCAGTCAAAATGTAGAAGGAGATATTTGCTAAGGTTTTACATCTCATTTTCTGGCACTAAACTGAAATTTTGTCTTACTATTTACAAAGAAGTCGCAGTGGGGTTTTGTGGTGGAGAAACAAGAAACGAGGCACAGCAGAAATTTGCTTGTTGGGTCGTATGCTATGTGTATTTTAAGGCATTCCCATTCAGGGATGCAAAAATCAGGGAGGAGAGAATGGAAGTTTATACAAATACTTTCCACACCTGATTTTACTACCACTGTGACAGAGGGACGTGCAGCTTAAAAGTTAACGTCAGGAGAAAGCAGCTGTTAGTGATCTGAGATCTCGTCAGACTTGAGAACATGTTTGAGAATGAAGAGGGTGTTTGTAAATCACATTGCACGCCAGAGGAGAATGTGAGGGACTTCTACAGGCTTTCAGGTCAAATCATACTTCAGATACTGAATGAAATAAAAGATCTGATTTGCAGGAGATTATGTGACTCCCATTCCGACATGCATTTGTTGATTTCTTCAACCATATTAAGGTTTGGTTGTTGTAAATGTAGACTTTCTTCTATACTTACCCTTGGTCCATACGTGTGCAACAGCCTTCAGGCAGCAGATCCAAAGTGGAGGTGTATTCAAATTAACAGCTGCTCTTCAGGTGGTAAGGATGTGCCTGTACTGTGCACAGGTGGACTGGTAACTGAAAGTAACAGGTGCACAGGTAACTGAAGCATGGTCTGACCTAAAAGCCTATATAGGTTCCTCACATTCTACTCTGGTGAGCGATGTGACTTGCAGACTCCTCAAACATTTTCTTAACTCTGACGAGGTCTCAGATGACTAACATATCCTATAGAAACACAATGTTCAGTGTAAATTCCCAATCTTTCTCTCCCTGAGCATGCTGGAGCAGAGTTGGTGAATTTGTCTCTTTTGAGTGTAGGTCTACAGCAACCAGTCAGACTCCAGGCACCATGAGGGAACAAGGAAGAGACAACAGTCAGGAGATGACAACAGGTCAAACAGAAAGGAGGAGAAGGAGAAAGAGGAGGAGGACGTCCACTCATGTTCCAGAAATAAACAACCTCCTCAAGTTTGGCTCTCCAAGGAGAGGTGAGTATGACTTTCTGACAGATCAGCACTGTGTAAAAAGAACGTGCCTAATAACATTAATTTTACCAGTGACATATTGTCTGTATTTATATTCATGTGCCCTGTTACTTAGTGTTGAAGGTTTGTGAAACATAGTGTGGTATGTTTTGGTACTGCTGTCAATCCACCATGATGGAGAGGCCAAGGGTTGGCTGTCTGCACCAACAGAGCTTGTCTGTTCAAGAGTTGGAGCCAGGAAACTAGTTTCCTCTGCTCCAGCAGAGACTCATTTAAACCAGCCATCACAGCCATTCACATTTATACATTACATTCTCTCACAGTGACACCATTAGAATGAAGAGAAGTCAAATTTTATTTATATAGCCTAATACCACAAAAACAAATTTACCTTAAGGGGCTTTACAATCTGTGCAGCATATACCACCCTTTATCCTTAGACCCTTGTATCAGATAAGGAAAAAACTCACCAAAAAACAAACAGGAAACAAAGGGAAAAACCTCAAGAAGAGCAACAAAGGAAGGATTTCTCTTCCAAGACAGACATGCAATAGGTGTTGTGTAGAGAATAAATCAGGTGATCCGGGCCCAGACCTCTGAATGATATGCTGACAGCCCAGCAGGAAAAGTTGTGAACCTCTGAATTAATTGTGTATACAATATAGCCCATAGAGCCATGTTTTTTTTCCCCAGGCATACTGATAGAGTAGTAATGTTCCATGCTGGTTTCCAAGAACAAAACACCTGACAACAAAACACAAATGTTGCTGTCAGGTGGAATGACTCCAAATTAGAACCAGAATAATTCAGTACAAAGGTACAAAATGCATATCCAGCTGGTAGGAGGACCTGGGATAGGCCCAGAATATGAAGGAGGGATTGTATAGCTCATCTAACCTGGGAACGCTGTGGGGTCCCCCATGAACTGGAGAACTTTGCTGGGGAGAGGGACATCTGGACCCCCTACTAAAACTGCTTCTCCTGTGATCTGATCCTGGAACAGCAGTTGTTAATGGATAAATGTACAACCCCAAATCAGGAAAAGTTGGGACAGTATGTAAAATCAAAATTAAAATAGTGATGTGTACACAGCAGCACATTGTTTGATGTGACACCTCATCAATTTGTTTCTTTGTTCATTTCAATTCTGATGCTGCAAAAAAAAGTTGGGATGGCTGCATTTCAGGGCCAGTAACGAGGTGAAACAATGAAATGATGATTCCATGTGAACCAGGTGATGTCAACAGGTGACTGCTTCGTGATTTGGTACAAAAGTGACATCCAGGAAAGGCCGAGCCCTTTAGGAGCATATGTGAGAAAATGATTGAAATATTTCAAAACAATGTTCCTCAAAGAAAAATGGGAAGGATTTGGATCTGTCACCCTCTATGGTGCAGAACATAATTAAAAGATTCAAAGACTCTGGAGGATTTCAGTGTGTAAAGGTCCAAGCCTCAGATGGATAACCAAGCTCTCCAATCCCTCAGACGGCACCGCATCAAGAATTATCACTCTTCTATCAGCAATATAACCACATGGGCTCAGGATGACTTTGGCTCACCTGTGTCAGCCACTACAATACGTAGTTACATCCAGAAATGCTGCTTAAAACTGGACTGTGCCAAAAGGAAGCCCTATGTCAACAGTGTCCAGAAGTTGACTGCTCTGGACTCAGAGGCATCTGGGACAGACCATCACACAGTGGAAACTTGGGCTCTGGTTAGACCAATCAGTGTTTCAGGTCTTTTTGGAAGGAATGGACACCGTGTGCTCTGGACCAAAGACTAAAGGACCATCCAGACTGTTAGCAGCAACAAGTCCAAAAGCCAGGGTCTGTCCTGGTCTGGGGTTGTGTCAATGTCCAGGGCAAAGGTCACTCACACTTCTGTGATGGCTCCATTAATGCTGAACAACACACAGAGATGTTGGAGCAACATCTGCTCTCTTCATATTTCAACAAGACAATGCAAAACTTCATCCTGCACATTACCAAGGCCTGGCTGTGGAGAAAAAGGGTGTGAGTGCTGGACTGTCCTGTCTGCAGTCTCGACCTGTCCCCAGTAGAGAATGTGTGGCACGTTTTGAAACGCAAATTGCATCACTGAAATGCAAATTGTGTCAATGACTTGGTGTCCTCAGTCCCTAAACGTCCTTAGAATCACACCGTGGTAAATGCTTTACTGTCCCAACTTTTATTGGAATGTGTTGCAGCGTCAGAATTGAAGTGACTGTTTATTTTGAACAAAGAATAAAGTTGATGAGGTATCACATAAAATAAGGAAACAGATGATTTACAGATCACTATTTTCAGTTTTAATTTAGATTTTACATGTCAACATTTTACATGTTACTGTCACGACCTTTTCTGATTTGGGGTTGTATGTATCTGTTCAAATTTGAGCTTTAGAGTCGCTGAAACTGTAAGATGTGCCTTTCATTTCTTGTCGTTTAAATTATTGTAACGGTCTCAACGTAATTCAGAAAGCCATGCACAAATTCCAAACTTTACAAAAGGTACCAGCTAGATTATTAACTAAAAGTAAGAAACGGGACCATATTACTCCCCTTATATTGTTTTTACTCTGGCTACCAGTTTTCTACAGAATTTGGTTTAAGAGTTTTCTCAGTACTTCATGGCCTGGTCCCAGGCTACATCACTGATGATGTCATGCCATACCGAGCTGTCTGCAGTTTGAGGTCCTCGGGCAGGAACCTATTTCCAGTGTGTATGTCAAAGTGTAAGACTAAAGGGGACACAGCTTTTGCTGTTAGGGCTATGACACACTCACCTTCAGGCCATGGGTGAATGTCTGTCGGTGCTCATCTCCCTGGTGTGTCCCACACCACTGGCACTAGTCAAACCCTGTCGGCAGCTTTTCGGCCTATTCAATGTGTTGAATCGGCATTAGGCCTCATTGATGAGAGAGACAACTCTGATTGGCGGTTGAGGCTTGTGGATTCGTGCAGGTGAAGGTTCAGGACCACCCCTTCAACCTGTTGCTGTAGTATACACGATTCCACACTTTTAGTGTGGGTTCTCTTTGTGTTTTAAGAGCAGAAGAATAAGCTTTATTTTATTGTCACATTGTGATGCGTACAATGAAATTTTGTTTGGAGCCGAGGGCCCCGGGCCGCTGCGTGCATACGCACTGGCAACTTGGGGGGTTCAGTGTCTTGCCCAAGGACACTTTGACATGTGGACTGCAGGTACCAAGATTCCAACCTTCAACCTTCTGATTGGGAGACGACTGCTCTACCCACCGCAGCACCGTCGCTTCTGTGGCCTTTCTTCTTCCACAACCAAAAGACCAAGGGCAGAGAATGGCAGTGTCATTTCTTATCAGACATAATCTTGATTAGAAGCAGCTTTATTTCCTCAGCCTAGCTCTTGTTCTTTCCCTTTCTGAATGGTGAATACAAATATCGCCACCTGCTGGTAGGGGGAGGTATTTCTGTCACGCAGGTGCAGAACGTAGTATGTGCTAGTTGGCTGTTGTTTGTATGGTGTGTTCAAGTGCCACTTTTTCAACCCGACTGGCCCAGACAAAGGCGATGTGAGGTGATGCAAATGTTGGTCTACGTCGCTGCTTGTTCTTTCACGTTGGCTTGGTGCATCTCTGCCTTTATCAGAGAATGCTGTGCTCCAATTCTCATCGAGACTTGGCTTTCTGACAGAGTTCCAGACTCCGCGATTCAGCTACAAACACATTCTGTACATTGAGGAGATCACACTGCTGCTTCAGGGAAGGTAAAAGGAGGTGGTGTGTGTGTGTGTGTGTGTGTGTGTGTGTGTGT